GTTAAAATCCGGCGAACAGTGCGACTACCACTTGAACGGGAGAATATGGAGCACCTGGGAAAACAGGAATGCAACTGGTGAATTCATGGGAAATGCCGCACAACTGCAGATGTCATACATTTTGGGCTACAGGTGGACAGTTCAGGCAAACCCTCACATAAATGGACAGGTTCATTTTTTAAGTCAAAGACATTATATCTTCAGAGGGAAACATTTTGTTTTTAAAAAAAAAAAAGGCTTTTTGCTTTAAACTTATGATGAGAATATCTAACGGGTATATGATTTATGAAATATAAAATGTAGAACTGTAAAGATACTTATGTAATCTAGAATTTATTGTATGGGCACCTTTTTGTGTCATCAGGCTCAAACTGTGGTTGGCCAGGCTTTAAATAGATGAGAGAAATGTTTGTAGACAAATCGGTTAGATTGTGGAGGGCCTAATGTTTTTCTTTATTTTGCACATTATTTTATTAAATATTTTATATTTTTATTTCTGCCGCTTTATTTAGGGAATCAATTATTAAACGTTATTTTGACAGTTGACCTAACCAGAATAGTGATTTTTGGATTGTAGATTCATTTAATATTTTTTTGAAAGTCAACCAGAGTTTATTGATTCATAAATTATTAATTTAAATTGAACTGAACTGCATCTCATGTGTGCTTCAGAAAAATGAAAGCCCAGGATTAGCAAATCCAACCATGGTCAGTATTATTTAAAGCAGACATGACCCTTAGGCTAGTCCCTACTTCCATACACATGTATGGAACCACAGGTTACATCGTTTGAAGAGCTTGCTATCTTTTTATTTGTTTATAGAAATTATCATTAATAATTAAATTAATGATTTGTCTCAATCATCTTTGGCTTGTCTTTATAGGAAGTGTAGCCACATGATTAGTCAGCTAATCAGTCGACAGTAGATGTATTGACAGAAATACAAAATAGTTACTTTTAACAAAATGGATAAATATAGAGTGCTTTCTGTAGGGACCTGTTATGAAAATGTTTCCTTTTAAAAACGATCAAAAAGAGTGATAATCGGTACCAACAAATGCATAATATCAGGTTGATTAGTTTTTATTCCATTAAATTCTAACTTTTTAGCGTCTCACCTGCACAGCTGGCAGTCCCTGTCTGCGTCCTGCTGCGCACCCGGAGCGACCCTCCTCTTCTTCAGGAACCTTCTCTTCAGGGAGGCGGAGGACAGGGTCCCAGACCGGAGACACTCCTTCTTCATCAAGGCCAGCGAGGACATGAGCCGGTCTGAGAGCAGCCTCTCAACGGGCCGCCAGGACAGGCACTGAGAGGAGAGTCCCGCTGCTGGAGGTCCCTGCCTCCAAGTCCGCGGCAGCATCTGCTCCTCTCCCGGTAGAATCCTTCAAAATAAAAGCGTTGTTCACAATCACTAAAATATATAGGCCTATGTATTTGTCGGTTTTAACCAGGTTTTAACAAGTGTTCATTGATTAGCTGAGCTTTGAATGGGCCAGGAAATGATTGTCTAAAATCAAACAGTTCACATTCAACGTTACTTTGTTTAAACTGACTCTCATTTGTTGACATGGCATTGTTTTATATTACAATCATTTAAGCTTCTAACCTCTTATAGTTGATTCAGTATTTGTAATGTGTTCTTATTTTGAAAGTAGAATCCTCAGGAAAATAATGATGTTCTGCTAATCTGCAGCTTTCATTTCATGCAATACATTCAACATGCTCTAATTATTCTGGTCATAATTAATGTAATGAAATTCAATAATTATCAATGGTTGACATCGTCTGAGTTGTGTTTTTTAAGATGCATTAAAAATAGTGTGTCTATGTTAAATCTTGATTTGGATATAACTATGGACTATGGTAATTTCACATTCATTTGAAAAGACACCTCAAATGAATATATTTAAATGAAAACATACAGGTTCATAAATAAACTAAAACTGATATCACTTCAGATTGACAGTAGATCACCTTGAGTATCACAGAGAGATGTAAAATGTAAGTCCTTAAAGTGTCTTTTAATGCAGTTCCAGAGTATTATTAAAGGAAACAGCCTATTGCCTGGTCCTGGTTTCTCTTCAGATTGAAAACAGACACCTCAGAGTGACACATATCAGCACATTCTGATGTGAAAAAGCTCTTTAGAATGTCTTATTAAATGTATTTTTAGGTAATTTTCCAAAAAGACTTAAAGAGAGACCTGTTGCCACAGAATATGTTCACCTCAGAGTGATAGTAGGTTAGAACACCTGCCTTTCAGGCAATGTCAGGACTATCTGATGTGACATTTTAAAATGAAAGCCCTTCAAACTATCATATCTGAGTTAAATACTCTTCAAATTCAGATTAAATTAAAAGGAAAAGGCTTGTTGCCACAAATGTATTTTTTATTTAGTTTGTATCACCTCAGAGTGTCACTTGGACAATATTAATACATTCTGATGTGCATTTTCTAAACTTAAAGCCCTTTAAATTTCCAGTAAAGTAACATTTTAAGATATTTGAATACATGTATGAAACTGCAGGAGACATTGTTGCACGGACAAATGCGCACTTTACTGGCTTTGTACCCCGGGTATTTACCAGGTATTTACACTACTGTGTGGAGGCTTTAATTTTAAAGGTTGTTGCCGGAAGTCCTTCACGTGAATCTCTCGGGCTTTGTCGTTGAGCACGCGCGCAGCCGGAGGATTGTTGTGTCTGCTGCTGAACAAGAGAACATGAGAAAGCCAAACACAGTGAGGATATGAACCGCTTGTAACTTCCAGTGTCTGAGGGAACCGGCTGGCTCCACGGTCTGGCTCGCTGAGCGGCTCCCGGCGTGTTGCTCCCGGTGTGTCCGGGCTACAAGTGGCGGAGCGGCTCCTCGCGGGAGTGAGTGAATGAAAGCGTTGTTTGGAGCCGTTAAACAAAGAGCTCCTCTTCTCTTACCATTGTTTCCGAGCCCGGCGCCCGCTTTCTAACTCAATTCAGAAGTCTGTTAGACTGTTAAAGTAAGCTAACTTCTCCAAAGTGTATCTGTTTTTTAAAAGGGCATGGAAAACGCAGGCTTTAATGCAGAATACTTTAATTCATTCACAATACAACCAGCAAACCCCTAACGTTCACACTGGGATACAGTGCTTTGATTCTAGGCAGGCTGTGAGTTTACCAAAAGGATATTAGCAGTGTCTGATATACTGAGGCAGATTTGGACTGAATCATAGGTGTAAAGTAACGAAGTACATTTACTCAAGTAGTGTACTTGAGTACGACTTTGTGGTTCTTGTACTTTACTTGAGTATTTCAATGTTTTGCTACTTTTTAATTCTACTCCACTTCAGAGGTGAAAATTGTACTTTTTCTCCACTACATGTATTTAATACCTTTAGTTACTTTACGGATAGAAATATAAAATATAATCAAGTGTTAAATCAGACTTTAGTTCCACCTGGAGTAAATCCACAAGCTACATTCAAAGTCATTCAAACTAGCTGCACCTTTACCAGCTTTGAGAACACTTTAATGATCAATCATCATAAAACATATCATAGGCTATATATTATTCTGAAATGGACCAATCTGCACAACGACTACTTTTACTGTTGCTACTTTAACTATATTTTGATGATAATACTTTTGCATTGCAGGACTTTTACTTTTAACAGAGTATTCCTACGTGTACTCTGGTACTTCTACTTTTACTCAAGTGCAAGATCTGAGTACTTCTCCCACCTCTGGTGTGCATAACCCTACCTTAATCCCATATACATAAAAACGGAATGTTTCAAACCGGGAAAAGCTTTGTGTTTACCTGGTCTTAATAACTCAATTATAACTCACTGCCAGACAACCTGATAAGAAATAGCGCTATTTATTTGATTCCAGATAATGTGTATGGCAGGTAGTAAACAGTGGTGGAATGTAACTAAGTACATTTACTCAAGTATTGTACTTGTACTTTCCTTGAGGGCTTTACCCTACTTTTACTCCACTACATAGGCAAATGTTACACTTTATACTCAACTACATTTATTTTTACAGATTTAGTAACTAACAATTTTGCACATTTAGATGATAAATGCACAATTTAAACACTTAATACATATTGATATACTATTATAGGTTAAGCTACCAAGTAATATACAAAGTAATTCAAATGAACCCCACCTTTACAAAGTGCAACATTTAAGTGATTAAGGGATTATTGCATCAATAATACAATACTTAAAAAATATATATTGTTCTTAAATGTGCCATTTTGCATAATGGCTACTTTTACTTTGGTACTGTAACTATATTTTACTTAAAAGTAAAACAAAATAGTACAGTCACTGTGGGTAGACTGTCCGCCAGACTTCAATCTGAGATCTGCCCATTTATGGTTATTGCAAGAAGTCATAACATACTAGTAACTAAGTACATTTACTCAAGTATTGTACTTAAGTCTTTTTTTGACTTATTTGTACTTTACTTATGTACTTCCATGTAATGCTACTTATACTCCACTACAGGTGAATATTGTACTTTGTATTCCAATAAATGTATTTAGCACTCACAGTAACATTGTAAACATAATAACACATATATGTTGATATGGTATAATGCAGTACTGTGTTACTAATCTACACAGCATTTCTAGTATCTACATTTGGTCCAAATCGACCAACTATAACCCAAAAATGCTCTTACGGGATAGCTTGTAGTGGAGTATTTTAACACCAAGTCAAAGATCTGAGTGGCACATTGTGAACCACTCTCTACATCCCCACATAGTAAACAAATAAACAATCGGACATTTGTATTTATTTTTTAAAAGGCTGCATTATATCTGCTCAATTCGGAATTGGTTATTAAGGAGAACTCTTAATAAATAATACTAATAATGCGTTATTTTGCACACACATTACAGTGCCACGTTTGTATGAGTTGCATGGTTTGTGCATTGATGCGAGGCACCAGGTCCCAGGCTGAGCTTCCATGTTGCTGTTCACAGGTCAGAGGCTGCGCTCCAGTCATGACCTCTGGGAATGGAAACACTAACAGCAACAGGAGCCGAGACAAAGGAGAGAGCAGAGCAGCCCAGGCCCTCATGAGGTGCCACATCCTCACCCACCTGATAGAGGGCTTCGTCATCCAGGAGGGGGCCGAGCCGTTCCCTGTGAGTACCGCTCCAGAGCCCTAAAACACACACAGAATAAGGCCCATAAGGAACATGGGAGTGGACTACTCCTAAATACACTGGCCATATCAACTGTTCCCTGATGGTGATTTGTTCGAAGCTTTCTGTTTGACGTATGATTCCCAGACCTGAGCTAGTAACTTGGTGAGTGCAGTGCAGTGTTATTACATGTAGAAACTAGGGACAAAACTTTTGCCGTTTCCTGTTTTAGTTTCCATGAACGATGAAGTTTAGTCAGGAGGTTGACACCTAATGACTTTTGTTTTTAACATCATTTAAAATCGCAATACATGTTATACCCTTTTCTTGATCTCCCTCACAAGTTGCAGTCATGTCAACAATTTTGCCCCCCAACCCTTTCTTTTTATGTTTACTGTCATTTATCAACAATTATTACTCATCTTTCTGAGAAAATGTTTTTTAAAGGTTCTTTTGGGCCAGACAGTGCCTTTATTACAGAGGAAAAGTTGTAAATGGGAGATAGAGGAGATGACTGAAATGTTTGGCTGGTTCAGGATTTGAACCTGCTTACTTGTCAGTGGACGCTGCATATGGTCAGCTCTAACCACTGAGCTCAAGTATAACAAAAACACGTTTAAACTGTCCATAGTTGTATATGTGTTCTTGTAGTTTCCTGGGATTCATTTCAGGCTTTTTCAGCGACAGTAATGGCATGTTTAATGTCCTGTCTGCAGGTGGAGCGTCCCTCTTTCTCAGTCGAGAGCCTGAGGAGACACACTGCAGACTCAAAGATGGACCTCCTCTCACCAAAGGGTAACGTTTGAAAGTTCTCAGAGCAATAGCAACTTGCTGAAGCGTTTCATACATTCTACTGAGGACAGAGAGGATGATAAATTTATGATTTATATTGTGATAATTGCAACACATCATTGTTTCTCAAAAGAAATTCCTCTTCTAAAAATCCTATTGACATCCACATTCTTTTGTTATAAATCTGAGGAAGTGAGACATATCGCTCACACAATGAATTCATGTGACGGCTTCACCTTTAGCTGTCAATAAGCTTCACTTTCACAAGTCTGGCTTTTAGCACTTGTTCTTAAAATAGCTTTGAATATAAAATAATCCAGGCTCATTCTGCATCGTCAGTGTTCCTGTGGATGTTGTGGTTGATGGTGTGTGTCTCCCCTCAGAGCTGAAGGTCCAGCAGGAGCCCATGCTGACCTGTGAGCTGTGTGGCAGGGTGGATTTCTCCTACGTCTTCAAAAGGTCCAAGAGGTTCTGTTCCAATGTGTGCGCCAAACGGTAAGGCCCAGCAGGGAAGATGCTCCTGGGTGAGAATCTATCTGCACCAACTGAGTTTAAACTGACCTGAATCAGAATTATTTTATTGCTCCCACAACGGGAAAGTTACGGTATTACAACAGAGTGCAGATTAAGTTAAAAAAAAGTACATATTAATAATATTAACAAAATAAGTAAAAAGGTACACCACACTCCTGAACGTGCACTACTATTATTGTGTGTGTTTTTTTTTAATGTGTTTTATGTCTTATATTTTGAGGAACCTGTGAACCAGGTTTTTCATTGCACAACCACACTGTAATATGACATTAAAAACATATGTTTTCTTTGATCTTTGGTAGAAGCTAATACCAGAGATCAAACCCTAAGTTTGAGTTGAATCAAATAACGAGTCAAACAGTCACTGTCAAGAGAACGTAGAGAACGAGATGGAGGCAATGGGATTTTCCCATTGGATTTTGGAATATTCATATAACACCCATTTATAATACTTACACGTTTTGTTCAGCAGGATAATCTCTACATATTAAAACAGCATTAATGACTTTTTATTTGCGTACATGCAATCACCAAAAGTGAAAAGCTAACGTGACGCTATCAACGGACATTACGGTCAGCGCTAAGCTAAACGCAGCTAATGTTCGGCATGTTGACATTTAGTCTCATTTAGTCACTTGTTAACAACGCAGTTTGTATGACACATAGAAGTGTCATTCACCAGTGGAGTATTTACTGATGTATTTTATGTAGTAGAAAAAACTAGAAACAAATCTCTTTCTGAAGACATGCATCAAATGACCGCAGAGCAGATGGTGGTTTTCAGCCTTGTAACTCTAAAAGTGTTTCCATTTTGTTTTCCATGAACCAGTCTGTAAACACTGCCTCTTACCGGTGCTCTCTTTGGACAAGCTGTCGGCATGGCGATACAATTACTTTGTGTCTTGTCTCGACCCTTTGGCAGAATTTGTAAGACTTGTGAGGACAGGAGAATGGTCCGAAAGGACTGCAGGTTCTTATGCTGCTCAGCTGATTGCTTGTGATTGCAAAAACAATGGAAGATTATTATTGTAGGTTTTGATAAACAAGTGTTATTGTAACTTATTTTTACCTCCTCAAAAAACTCAAATCTAGAATCAATGATAACCTAAATCGATAAGCAGAGCCGAAATCGGATATCCAAACGATACCCAACCCTAACCTTCTGGAGAAAAAATTGTGAAAATATACAATGATTAACATACTGATAATAACTCTAATGTTCACTTTGTTTGCAGCTACAATGTGGGATGCACAAAGAGAGTGGGTCTCTTCCCAAACCGGAAATCCACCCTGGAGAACATGAAGAAGCAGAGAGCCCTGAGCGGAGAGCTGAATCACTGCAGCCTGGAGCCCAAGAAGAAGGTGAGGCAACGCTTTGACTTTGTATTACTAATAAATGATGTTGTTTTGTGCGGTTCATTGAAGTCCATCCAGTTAGTCTTCTGAATGTGACGTGCAGCTCTCCTCCTGTCAGAGGCAGAGTTCTCTCAGTGTTTGACAGATGTGTTCCCCCTCTGTGCAGAAGCCTGCTGCTGCTGCTGCTGCCTCTCCCTCCACCGGCCAGTCGCTCCACCCCGCTCAGGGACAGTCCAGCCAATGCTCAGACCTGCCTGGGTACAAGAGACCCCCGTCCCCCCCGTCAGCCACGCAACCCTTCTGCTTCCTGCCCTCTGACCCCGGCCGGTGGAACATAGATGAGGTGTACGAGTTCATGTCCTCTCTGCCAGGTGGGGCTGCCTCTGCTCTTACTGATCTGTTGGACTGTGTCTCATTAGGAATACTTTACATATGGAATGTATTTCCATCAGCAGAGTTTCATTTCATTCATTTGTGAGAGTGTCGTGTTAAACTAAACTAGATTGTGTGCACAAATGACTTTAAGGAGGCCGTCAGATTAAAGCTTAGTCTGGCAATGTGTTCTATTATTAGCATTAGTTTGAATTATTGTCAACAATTCCCATGTGCAGACTTTAACTAACAACGATTGTCTTTCAGTACTCTGACTTCTGCCTAAAATCAACTCAAACATTTTCATTTTTTATCAATTTTAGAATTTCCTTAAACCAGCTGTTCACTGTTTTACAGATATAACTATTTTGCAAACAGACTAACAAAGTTATATGTGCAACAACTGTTACAAAGAGAGTTGAGAGGGCAGGGACAAACCTAACGATTCTAATATAAAGGAATTAAATCAGTATTTTCATTATTTTTTCATCACAGCAGTGGGGGATGATTATACATTTAGAAAATCCTTTGCGAAATTGATTAATTACTAGGACATATTCTTCTTCAGCTTCCTATCAGTATGTAGTGTCTCTCCTTTAATGTTCAAAAAGCTCTTTATTGTTCTCATACTGCCTGTGCTGCAGCACCTCTTTTCACCCTCTGTCTGAAACCAGAGCCCAGTCTGCTCTGATTGGTTAGCTGGCCAGCTCTGTTGTGATTGCTCAACCACTTCGAAAAGTCCTGCCCCTTAGCCTATCACGTACAATGTGTTGGAGCGCTAGCCAATAGAAGCGCGAGCGTTACATACTGTAGTGATGTCACTTAGAGCATTCTCAACATCTGAACCTTATTATGATCAATTTATATGGGAAGGATTGATCTATTAACTCAATTCAAATTTCAGAAATAAAATTGTCATTGTTTTTTGTTATCTTACTCTGGATTTTATCCGTTTAAGGTTCTGTTATAAATTGTGCTTGTGTGGCCTTCTGGGGCTTCACACACCATGACGGTGGTTCTGATGAGTCAGTAAGAGAGTGCAGACTGTGTGTGTTCTGACGGTGTGTTCAGACTGTGTGTGTTCAGACTGTGTGTGTTCTGACTGTGTGTTGCTGTGTGTGTTCTGACTGTGTGTTGCTGTGTGTGTTCTGACTGTGTGTTCTGACTGTGTGTGCAGAGTCAGACTGTGTGTTGCTGTGTGTGCAGACTGGGTGTTCTGACTGTGTTCTGACTGTGTGTGTGCAGACTGTCTGCAGGTGGCTGAGGAGTTCCGCTCTCAGGAGATCGATGGGCAGGCCCTGCTGCTGCTGAAGGAGGACCACCTCATGGCCACCATGAACATCAAGCTGGGGCCCGCACTGAAGATCTACGCCCAGATCAGCACGCTCAAAGACTCGTAGCCCATCTAACACGCACACACGTTGACAGAGCTGTGGTGCCACATTAGTTTGATGGACGTTCTGACATCAGCTGGGACTTTTTGATACTCCTTCACAACTCATAGCTGCTCCTTCTGGAAAACTTGAGCCCATAGTGTGAATGTTAGGTAGGCTGTGTCGGGGAAAGTGTTTTATTGAGAACATATTGTTTTCATCATGTTTTTTTAAGGTTAGCAGCTCCTCTAGGATTTCACAAAGGAGCGTGACTGTGAATATTTCAGATCTGTGCCATTCAAGCCCAGCATTCTTCCTCACAAGGTGGATGTTATGTGAATCCTGTGCAGAGCCTCCCACCTGTGGTTCTGATCCAGGACTTGCTCTGCACTGCTATGTTCTAAAACGCTCGTCATTTCATTCACTCGGCAACACAAAACAGAAGGAAAAGAAAATGGAGAAAGACTCCCAGGAGATGGCGCTGCAGCTTGACAGTCCTGGATCAGGGTCACATACTATAGCCACGTTCACACAGCTGTACTTTTCCCACTTTAGTTCCGATTTTGTTCCGAAATGTCACGTTCACACCAAAAAGAGCTGGAACCTTTCCGTCCCTGCTAGAGAGCAGGGACTTTCGTGCGAGAAAAAGGTTCCTATGTCTGATTGGTTGGGCGGAATGCAAACCACGCCCCGTAAAACTCCCAAAAAGTTTTGTGAAGCCGCCATTTTATTGTCCGCGCATTAGCATTATTAGCATTAGCCTAGCGCACAAACGCAGAGAGACTAACTTATGGCAACACAAAATAAAACATGGGAGCAGTGGAGATGAGGAGGTGTCGGCGTTCTGGCGATTTACTCGGAAGGCTTCAGTAGAAGCTGCTGGGTCTCCCCAACTCCGGGGACTTCGGGTGGCAGTATACGCCGTGAAGTTGTTTGCGGCCTGCCAGTAAACCCAAAGCAGAAGAAGAAGTGACGTCAGCGGCTTCATTTGCCTAATCCTTCCCAAGGAACTTATTCCGGTGTGAACGCAATCTGTACTTAGTTCATGAGAACTAAAGAGTTCTCATGAACTAAGTTCTCATGAACTAAAGTGGGAAAAGTGTGAATGCGCCTAATGGGTGTTTCTCAATGTCGAGTAAAGCTGCTCCAGAGCCACTATTTCAAGCATACTACGTAATCGAGTGCCGCTGAAGGACTGTTCCAATGTCCAGCATACTTGGAATTCTACCGAGCCCGGCGTACTTCGTAGTGACAAATTCCGAGGCTGCACATGTGTAGACTCTGCGGTCTTAAAATCCCCACAATGCTTTGCCCACGGACCAATTTCCCCAAATCTGTGGCGGAAAATGTAAGGCGGGGCCTCTCATATGACGCACACTTGCACGCCTGTTCCACTCTTCGTTTTCCGAATGCCAGGAAGTATTCTTGCCTCGCTTCTGAAGCAAGACGCTCGGAAGACGTGCTACCAAGCAAGCGTACTCGACATTGAGAAACACCCAATATCTCCAGATTGCATGTTGAGACAGGAAGTGGCTGGAAGCAAACTGTAAACTTAACTCCTCAAAAGCTGTCTGATGACACTGGTTTAATATTTATTGACTTATAAACATTACAAAGATGTGTGAACAAGGCAGATTGATGTAAGACAAAAGCAGATCTGTCTCTTCTTGCATTCTTATAGGGGGTCCTGGGCCTCTGTACAGGGCATCAGGAGACCCTCCTGACTCACTCCCCTAACCAGCAGACGTGAGGAACGGCTTGATTAAATGGTCAGTTGATTTTGTGGAATAAATAGAATTTTTCTGAAAACAGATATGAATGATTCCACTAGGTTTTGGACATAAATCGTATAAACACTGTAAAACTGTTAATTAACGCGTGTGGGTCTCTGAACAGGACAACGTGAACACATACAAAGATGCAGCATTATTGTATTGATTCAACCCTCAGCCATGCTTTGATAGTGTGTGTGGATTTTGTCTGAAATCATTCACTATGTTTTCACTATCTGAGAATGTGCCACACTTCCATTAGTAGCAGCAGTGATATTACAGTGATCGGGTGGAGTGTGCATACAGGAAGTGCCTATGGTGATGCAAAAGTATGAGTCAGGCTTGAGATAATAATTGGAGAATGTTTAAGCTATGGATATTTGTATGTTTCAATTGTACTGTTTCCAAAGTCCAGTGTCACCAGAAACATGTTGCAGCTGAGGACCCCATGAAGGGGTCATAGTAAATAGGACTTGGTATCTTACTGCACTTAATATTACATTTGAAAAGTTGTATTACAAACCATACTTTTGGCCGAAAAATACATGCTATTTCACAATAATGACCCCAACAGGTCGTTTAAAAATGTCCAAGATCTGTTTGTGGGAAAAATAAAAAACATGTAGTTCACTGGAAAAAGCATTTATAATATGATTTGAAAATGCTGTTGTGAGCAAAGGTGTCATTTGTTTACAGTGTTTTACTTTAGAAAAAAGCTGGTTTCTTTAGTTGTGATGCAGTTGAACAATTGTATCCTTCAAAAATGATATATATTTTAGTGTTACAGTTAGTTTCCCACTAACTGTTATTCTACGCACGAAAAGTTTATTATTCCGCCGACTTATTTTGCCGCGCTTCTCCTCCCGCATTGAACATCGCAGAAACTCCGTTCAAACATCAAAACGTTCAGCTCTGTCGGGAATCGATGGCTATTACTTTTCTAATTCATAACTTTCATAATTCCAGAGATACATCCCATAATACATCACATTTTTAACATTGAAGTCAATGGAGAAATTCTTCAACTTCAACAAATCTTCATGCGACTTCAACTGCTAACTGTTCATTCTGTCACAACTTTTAAATCTGATTCTTACTTTTAGATATATTAAACATTGTTTAAACCTTGTTTTAGAGGTTTTCTTCACATTTTAACATGAACTAGAGTGTGTGATGTCACAGGAGGACAGCTTGAAATTCGCATTCATATATTTTTTTTAAACTCCCATAATTCCCAAACCCTACATTCCTGAGACATAATTTATCATGACAAACGTAGGAAAACATCTCGTAGCTTGAAAAATGACAAATAATTAAGCAAAAAATAATTAAACAAAGTGCCTCTTGAGGGCATGAAGTGACAAAAACGTTCAACATTCCTCCATTAAACCCCATTGTAATTTCAGGCAGATATTTCCGCAGCAGCCGCACACCTTTAGTTAAACTGCCAAAAAGGCCACATTATTAACCCGAAACTACACAAAAATTACACTTCAGATGCTCAACTTCCTTGACATTCTTCACGTTTTGAAATTTCACAGATATCTGTTACGGTTCTTCCACAAAACGTTCACATGTAAGAGGTCTATCTCTCATTCAGAACAATGAAGCCTTTGATCTCAACTATAAACACCTGTGTAATGGAACACGATGATGTCATCACTCCAACTGACACGCTCAGAGCAGCAGACTTCAGATAGTGTGCAAACAGTCCAGCCGTGAAGACATCTACGGGACAGTTTTGAGATTTCTTCAAATGCCGTTGACATGGCAACACAATGCTCGCCTTGAAACACGGTTTTCTCATAACTTCGGTGAAAATATTCCAAACAGCCTAGAACTTCACAGGTTTGGTAACGATGCGGCCATCAACGCATCTAAGCGTAGTATGGGGTGTCATCAAATGCCGTTGCCATGGCGACGGACCACTCGCCATGAAACACGATGTGGCTGTAAGTCCCATCGACACGGTCCAATCGTCCCCCAATCTTCACTTGTATATCACCGGTCCATGCCTCAACAGCTCTTCGCCAATTTCGAGATCTCAACATATGCCGTTTCAATGGAAACGCATCCCTCGCCATAAAACATGATGTTGCTATAACTCCTATGAAAATGTTCAAAAAGTGCTCAAACTTCACATTTGTGCTAACAGTCCAGCCGTGAAGACATCTACTGGACAGTTTTGAGATTTCTTCAAATGCCGTTGCCATGGCAACACAATGCTCGCCATGAAACACGGTTTTCTCATAACTTCAGTGAAACTGCTCCAAACGCCCCAAAACTTCACAGGTTTGGTAACGATGCAGCCATCAACGCATCTAAGCGTAGTATGGGGTGTCGACAAATGCCGTTGCCATGGCGACAGATCATTCGCCATCAAGTTAGTTCAGAAGTTTGCAGTTCAAATATTCTGCTGCTTTTCCAAGCCTTTTTACTTTATTTTCTTCTCTCGTCACATATTCTTAGATATTCAAGCCCCCAGTGTTCATGTATCATTTCAATCTAAATTCTTCACTTTCTTCTTACACATTACATTCCAGCATAGCAGTTTAGCGTCAGATTTTCAGCATAAAGCATTCCCACAAGCAATTTCTTCAGGAATTGCATTCTCTAGTCTTTCTAAATACTAAAACCCTAGTGATCCTTTTCACTTTACACGTGTTCATATCAAAGTCTTGCAGCTTTAAATGTATTATTTCTAACAGAATAAAAACATAAGGGAAAATATGAAATGATTTTGAACAATTATTTATTGTTTTCACATTCATCCACTGATTTATTCTCCCCAACGTAAAATCATCTTAAATATATTTTGCTTAAATTTCACACGACCATTGAAATTGTGCTTATAGCCATTAAATGGCTTATTAAATTAATGAATTCAAACACACTCAGTAGTTCACATGAAATAAAGACACTGGATAAAACCCACACACTTAAAAGGAAAAACTTGAATCAGAAAATGTGTAAATCATAAACACTGACATGTCAATAATCCCCATCGACTTGTGAACAGTCGCTAACGTTATTTGAGTCTTATTGGTATTTAAAAAAGGTCTTGGTTTAGAACTATATTGTATAATCAAATACACTGGGTGTCTCAAATAAGAATCTCAGAGCCCAAAGGAACAATAACACCCAAGAGCAGCCATTAATGCTAGATTTAAGCAAAACAACAGAAGAGCAGCCTTTTTTGGGGGATCACTAAGAATCCCAAACATTTTACTACTTTTATTTTCTCTTTAGTATGTTTGATAATATTGGAGAACTTGCTGATTAGCTTGAGTTTCTTCAACAGTCAAACTGTGAATGATCTGGCACTATTGGTATGTCTAAGAAGGACTTTGGTGTGTACAATGTAGCCGAAAGAAACTAACTTCAAAACGTGATACCAAAAGCTGTGACAAACCAGGTCTCCTTCAAAACATGGCCGATGTTCTTGATGACTGCAGCAGTAGGACAAAAGTCAATTGACGAACGATGTGACATGGCTGACAGGTATGAGATCAGTTTAAAGAACATGTTACAGGATTTAGAAACAAGTGTTACACACAGCAGCACACTGAAGAGGAGGAAGATCATGTTTCTTAAAGTTCTAGCCATATTGTGCACTTTTAAAGCTTTGTGTATGAATTGAGAATTTCAGATGAGTTTGTTGTTTGGTGTTACCCAGAAGCATATCAGTTGTCCCATCAGTGGTACAAACCTCTAGTGGTTTCCCTTGAGCCAGTGTTGCTTGGTTGTTTGACTGGCTAAGGACAATGTGGAGTGATGTATGATTGCCTCACTTGCAGCAGCTGCTAACAACACAACTCTCCCATATCTCTGCTTCTCATGCATCCATCTGGAATCTGATGATGTCAAAGAAGTAATCACTGGCTTTAAAAGGATAAACCACATGGGTTGATGGGTGAGGAATGCAGTCACATCTTTAAATAGACTTGCTGTACAAATATTATCTTTAATGCTGCTTTGTTATCATCTATGAATTATTTATGCCAACAGTTTCCATATGCAAAACCCTGTCTAGTTACTGTCCCTTAAATGTGCTGTTTTGGACTGTAGTTCGGCCAAAAAAGCATTTAAATGCGTACTTGTGTTGGGCATTTTTGGGTGATTTTGTAAACTGTTATTGAAAAGAAATAAGGAGCAGATCATTGAATGTTATGTAGGTGCCAGTTTTACCCTGCACGCCTCACAGCAGATCACTTAGGAGAGACCTCTCTGTTGTTAGGAGTCTTTACCTGACTTACACCAGGAAGAGCAAATGATGTGACAGAGCGCCAGGCAGCACACCATGTTATTATCTGGCATGCTGCCACAGGGGAAGCACAGACACTGGACTGCACTTCAAACAGCACTCTTGGTGTCAGAGCAGACTTCCTCAGTCCTGTTGGCCACCTGCTGGAGTCAGAGCGGAGCATTAGAACCACTGACAGTACCCCCCCCCCCATCCACACTGCTGAGGAGAAACACACACATGCTGAGGAGGAGGAGGAGGAGCGAGGCGACAGGTTAAAGAGTGAAGAGCCAAAGCCAACCCGGAGATTTCTTGTTAATTTAATTGAGTGAATCAATATAAAACATCATGAAAACGCAGGGACCAAAGGGATGGAAGAAACAAGGTAAGCAGCACAGTCACCACCCGTCCCCCCCCCCCCCCGCTGCACCTCATTGCTGAATAAGGCTTCTGTCAGTCGCAAGATGAATTAGCTTTGGGCCAAACCGTGACAATCATCTCACTTACAGGAATAACTTTCCACTATATAGCTGTTGTAGTAAGAGATGTTTCTGCCGAGCTATGACAATTCAATCCAAGCTGTTTTCTCTTAAAGAATCATTTGACAGGACCATACCAATGTTAAGGCTCATTTTAGTACAAATCACATGGGACTTTAATGAGAACCAGTCATGTATTTTAGGTTAAAGGTTTCAGAATGCATTATTTTTCCCTGCATCACAATAAAGCTCCTCCTATTCCAAAGTGAAAAGGTACCCTGTGGAACTTTTCTGTCACTGTTCCTCATCTCAATTCAAGCGTGTGTCCTTGGGGTGTAACACACAATGTCTCTCTTCAGAACACATTTCATCACATTTGCTAGCAATCTTTGTTGGCACATTATGGAGTGGTGCGGGAATGAGTCCTTCAAAATGGAAATGAGTTAGCATTTGACCACTGCACAAGCTTTTCACGTTTAGTTCAACGACATCAGCCGTGTCAGTAAATACCCCACTGGTGAATGTCCAAAGCTTCTATGTGACATCAGAAACAGCTAACAAGTGTCTGAATGAGACTACTAAATGTCATCACGCTGAACATTAGCCGCCTTTAGCTTAGCGGTCGTGATGCTCAGACATGCGACGTGACGTGACCTTGTGCGTGCAAAAGATGCAAACGCACACTATACTGTATGTGGCTGCACTATATTGCTCCATATAACTTTTTAAAAGGTGCTAAAAAAAACAGGGTATCTTTACATTATGTATGTGCAAGATTGACCTGAATTGTCTGACACCTACAACACAACGTATGTTAACTCAAATAAAAGCGTTGTCAACTTAATTACCCAAACAAGAAATCAAAAGCAATGGAGAAGACATCTGAACATCGACTACCTTATTGCACTTACAAAAAGGTTCCTCCACTAAAGTATAATATTTGTGATTTATAAAAAATGCAAAAACATTGGTACAGTCCTCCTCAGTCCGAACAATCTGAAATAACTTTGAATACAGTTAAACAGTAAGCTCCTAACTTGTGCTTGTTTTCTTCCAAAGCACTCAACAAATGCTGAACATCCGACCAGGACGAGTCGAAGGTGCTAAAATGTGGAAACAGAGCAGAGTCAAATGTGACTTCTTGAATGAAGGGTGCTATTCTAGTGGTGCTTTTCACTGAGATCACATGTCACTGCTCACAGTCTGTTAAAGGCAACAGCTCCAGTGATCACCTCCTTGGACACAGAACACAAACTGAAGAATCACTTTAGTGAGGGGGGGGGGGAGGTGTGTAAGGCGAGTATGCCAACCCACCCCAGACAGGTACCATGTGAGATGGGAAAATAAAGTTCACTCAGAGAAAACTGAGAAACCAACCCACAGAGAGAGCGCCGAGAGAGCGAGAGGAAATCTTTGCCACCACAAATCAAAACAAGAAAGGATCAGTTTGCAGTTTTTCTGTTTCCAGTTTGCTGGTTATACCTTGCTCCTGAAGAGGGGCTTGGCTCCCGGCCCACAGTACTCGTTGTATATGAGCTTGAAGAGGAAGAGGTGGAAGAGCGTTATGAGCGAGGCCACGCTGAACCAGAAGAGGAAGGGCAGGCCGGGGTACCTGTTGGCCATGTGCTCCTCGTGGGCCAGGATGGCCTTGAGGTGCAGGGTGTGGCGGAGGTCCTGCAGATGGCGCAGGTCTGTGGAGATGTACAGCAGGGGGGTGATGGGCTGCGTCACCATCACGGGGAAGGTGTGACCTTTGACCTCGGAGGTCAGCTCCACCGGCTCGTTGAGGCAGCCGGCCTCACAGGCGTACAGCTTCACCGGCTGCTCCTGCTGCTTCACCGACACGTGGAGGAAGGGCTTCCCCTCGGTGTCCAGCAGCACTGCCAGGCTGATCAGGTCCTGGTTGTAGTGGATCCCCCTCAGGGCGTAGCTGTTGTGCAGCACGTCGGGGTCGGCCTGGAACTGGAGGTGGTTCTCTGTGAACTGGAGGCCCCCGAAGCTGAGCGCCATGGCCTGCATGTTGCCGTGGGCCCCGGCCGCCACCAGCACCTTGCAGCCCCTCTTCTGCAGCGTGAGGGTCCACAGCGTGACCAGCTGCAGGATCTGCGCCGCGCTGCTCACCCTCTCCGGCCACAGGTTCTCTGCGTGCATGGTGGCGTGGCCGCTGAAGCAGTGGTCGGCGTAGTTTAGGCTGGACTCCAGGCGGACGCGCTCCTCTCCGCTCAGCCTGCGGTCCAGGAGGGGGGCCGGGGAGGAGGACAGGATGTAGTACAGGGTGGTGTTCACCGTGCGGCTCGACGGGGTGTGGGAGTCTGTGATCTTCCTCATTTCAACACCTGAGGGAACAAAGAGGCAGACCTTTACAAACACCTTGCATGTCCTTTATAAAGCATTATTATTCTTGAGGTTGGTTTGAAAGAGTTGTCAGAACTGAGGGTCTACTACTTGATACCTTTTCCAGAGCTTTCAACGTGATTATCATTTACAAAGCTTTAGAAGTACATACAGTATTACACAAGAAATCTGTGTCATCTCCTAAGATCTTAGAACAGCACACTCCCTTGGATTTTTTAAGTAAATTAAAGATGTATCTTTTTCATTTGGCTTTGAATATGGGTTGATTTGGGTGGTGTCATTTTTCAAGTTTATATATTTTTTGATCTAACCCTTTCTGTTTTGTTTTTATTACTTTTCTTTAATAATGTTCTTTATTGTTATTCATTTGTTTGTTACCAGGTAGGTCGACACCATAGGTTGACACGTACGAGGAGTTTGACTTGATGTCGTGGTGCAGATATAAAAGTAAAACTAAAATGTAAAACACAGATAGAGAACTATTTTAAGAAAACTATAATGACATTAAAAAATATAGTAAAAAAATATATAGCAGTATTTACATTAAAATAGAATGGAATAAAAGATGTGCAGTAAAAAAAACAGATATTGTCAACATGGAGATATTGTAATCTTTAATGTAAACTAATGTAGACTAATTTCGCTGCTTCATAAAGGTGTTGACTATCTCTCCATCTGTGTGAGAGAATTCAAATGAAGCCAATTTGGATGCATGCATTTAAGTAAAGGATCTTGTCAGGCTGCTTGTGTTTAAATAACATTTGACATGTAAGAATTATACTTATTTTTGAAAGATAACTAGTGAGCTAACCATTGTTTAGTGAATCCCTCAAGCTGTGATAAAGTGAGGTGATGTTATATAAATACTGAATGTGGCTAATAACCTGCTTAGCGTATTCAACAGACAGTGGGGCAACGAACAACAGGCTGTGTACACAATGATTAACCCACCCACCCTCCGGACAGAACAACTGAGCAGCATGCCATAAACTCACTGCAGGGTTTACACTACTGTCAGCAGCATTTCACAATATGTGGATTCATTTGTGAATATAAACCTGGATCAAAGTCTTTTTACAGCCATGCTAAATGGAAATTGAAACTTATTATGAACTTCAAAAGTACACATCTGTGTATTGGTATGTTTTAGCCAATTAGACGATTACTTTCTGAGACTGTTTTACGTTTTCGTATGTTCTTCATCACATTTATATTGTGATACTGTATGTAGTTTTTTGGTATATATATATATTTCATGTACATTTTTCTCAATATTTTAATGTAATAATAGTTTTTTTTAAATTAGTTTTCGGTCCTTTTCTGGTATGTATCTGTGTTTAGGTATGCATCATATATACCATATACACCACATACACCACATGCACCAAATACACCATATACACCACATGCACCACATGCACCATATACAGGAGTACACCATATACACCACATGCACCATATGCACCACATGCACCATATACACCATATACAGTACACCATATACACTAAGTCAAATGACCTGTATGTGTAAACCTAAATGGCAATAACCCTGTTCTGATGTGATTTGTAGTGGCCTAGATGAAAAATAAAACCCTTACGTGCTACTGCAATGAAAAAACCGCAACGTTGACTTTAATTAAATGTATAATGTCAACAGATTTCACATAACTGTATTAGGTTAGTTGAAAGCAATAATATAAAGTTACAAAAATATTAGGTTACAGTTGCGTGAAATCTGTTGACATAAGACATTTATTTAAAATAAACTTTTCATTTTTTTTCAGTATGTAGAACCCAGAGCCCCCCCCCCCTTTTCACCTGAGATGAAGAGGTCCATCCAGGCCTGCTGGTGATCCACCACCAGCTCCTCCAGGCTGGCCCTCAGCAGCTCCCCCAGCTCCTTCTTGGCTCCCTCTCTGAGGGCGCTGAAGGTCTCCTCCAGCTTGGACGTCTCGATCGGCTCCGAGGTCCAAACCACAGACAAGATGTTCTCCGTGTGCTCTACCTTAGCGGGGACCTGGATCCTGCTGCTCAGCTTCTTGGTGACCACCACCACCAGCACCATGCGGTTGTTCTCCACAGGCACCCTGCCGGAGGAGAGCATGATCTCTCTGTCCTCCAGTTTCTCCACACTGGTGGAGAACTTGCTACCGGAGGGCAGGTTGTCAGAGGAAACGTCCAGAGACACGGTCCTGTCAGATGGGTTGTTGATGTGGATTCGCTGCAGAAAGACGTTGGGTCTGCTCCTGTGCGCGATGAACTCCTCCCTGATGGAGACGCAGTCCCGGGCTGACTGCGATTCTGTTGGTGAGGCACAGCGGACCGACAGCACGGCTCCTTTCCGGAACCACAGCATGGTGGCCTGCACCTCGGCCCGGTTCCCCTCCAGATGCACGTTGACTCTGGGAGAGTATTCAGTCTGGTGGACCGGAGCCGAGCCGGGCTGGGAGGACAGCGCCACCCACAGCTTGTTAGAGTCAATGTCAAGGAGAATGTGGCCGTTACCTGCAGAGGTGGAAAACGGATCAATATATTCATACACAAAGGTTCATTTGCAAATACAAGCATCCTTTCATTCAAAGGCTAGTACCAGAAGACCTGAGGGTTCTAGGTCTAGAGGGCTCATAGGTCAAAAGCAAATCCACTAGGCCCGAGACCATTAAGAGCTTTCAAAACCAATACAAGTCTTTTCAAATGAATTGGAAGAAGAACTTGGATATTTAACTTCAGTCAAAGTAGAACTACTACATTCTAAAAGTACTCAGCTACAAGTAAAGGTCATTCAAAATCTTACTTAGGGAAAAGTACAACAGTATTAGCATCAAAATATACTTAAAGTATATGTATATGTATTTAAATATACATGTACTTTATATTGAAATACTTGATTATGATTATTGATGCATGAATGTGTTCATCACAGCTGGTAAAGGTGCAGCTAGTTTGAAATACGTGATATACTGCTGCTGATATCTGAACCTATCATTATATGACAAAGTTTATCTATATTTTGTATTAGATAATTGTTTAAAAAGAATAATGTAGCATTAATAAAAATACTCAAGTTAGGTACAATTACCAGAAATCGTACTTAAGTACAGTACTTGAGTAAATGTAGTCTCTACATCCCACCATAAGACTCAGGGCCAGTTTGACCCCAGGCCATCAGACTGCTGAACTCCTGATCTCTGCCTTCACAACTTCATCCATCTGTTTGCATCTTACATATTGATCTATTATAATAAGCACTATTGTATTTCACTGTACAACATTTCATTTTAAATTCTATTATTAGCTCATCTTATTCTATTTTACTTGCTTATAGTTAACTTCTCATGCATTACTTGCACAATAGCAAAATTCCCTTTAACTATTTTATTTCTACTCTGTTTCTTCTTGCACTATTTGTATCTGTTTTTATGACTAATTTATATTTATGTTGCATTGTTGGAGGAGCTTGTGACTTTTCATTGCATATCCCCACTGTCGCTCCTTTGCATAATGACATTAATAAAGCCTTTGAACCCTTGGTTACCTGACACAAAAGGAGTATCCAGCTGTTCCTGAGGTGTGCTGTAGATCCCCTCTCCCCGCTCCACCAGGGACTTCCACCTGTGGATCTCGGCCAGGAGGCACTGTCCGGCCGCCCCGCCGGGCATGGCCGAGCCGCTGAAGAAGCTCCACCTGCGCTCCGCTCCCAGGTACCAGTAGAAAATGAGGAAGAGCAGCAGCCCGACGAGGAGCCTCCTCGCCCAGCTGCTGGACAACAAGCCCGGGAGCCCCTTCAGTCTCTGCTGCAGCCACATGGTGTTCAAATGACAGGAGCCCAGCTAGGAGTCAGCGTCAGAAGAAGGCACCCAGAAATGTTAGGCTGTCACATCGAATTAGGTTCAAAACATATTGATCCCATGGACTCTGTGGTGGCTCCACAGGATGAAGGCTGGTTTTGGCTAATGCAGCTTAGCTAGCTAGCTAGCGTTGAGAAGGAAAACTATATAGAATGTGTTATTATTTCTGGCATCGTGGTTATTGCCATATCCTTCAGCGGGTGTGTATGATATTCGTCCAGTTGTTGTTTCTCAGGCCATTTGGTTTCTCGACAGCATTCAGGTTGAGAACATCAGCGACTTCATAAATAACTCTTCTGGTTTGTCACAACTGTCGTAAAGCAACACGACACAGCAAGGACCGGAAATGTCGCAAAATCATATATGTACTGTATGTTCTCCTATGATTTATTTAAATTAACAAAGTACATTGTCAAGGAAACAAAGATTGTATAAACACTTTTTAGTATTTATTCTAATTCGTCTTTTATTTATTCAACTTACAAATACATATATATCGTAATTGATTATACGATTGTATTCCTTATTATTCGTTTTATGAAAATGCTTTCCAAACCTCTTACGAGGCTTCAGTATGAATTAAACAAATCTAGTAGAAACTTTTCACACTTGGGTTACTTTACTTACCCCTCTCCAGCGGGGAAAGTAACTAAGTATATTTAATTTACCCAAGTACTGTACAATTTCGGTACTTTAAAGGTGGGGTATATGTAATTTATTTCAGCAACATTGGCCTCATTGTTCATGTGCGCGTTCGTGTGTGTTGGAGCAGGGGCTCTGTAAGGAAGTCTGAAGGAAGAGGCAGATTTTTCTCGGCTGCGTAGTGCGTAGTTTCAAATTCTAGCGCACTCGAGCTGGTTTCTCCAAAATGACATACCCCACCTTTAAGTATATTTTGATGGTGTTACTTTTGTACTTTTAATTGAGTAACATTTTGAATGCAGGACTTTTACTTGTAACAGAGTATTCCTACACCCTGGTACTTCTATTTACTCAAGTACAAGATCTGTGTACTTCTCCCACCTCTGCCCCTCTCTCCACTGCATGTCAGCAGGGAAACAGTAAACAGTAGTTTATTAGACATACCAAGTTAAAATGAACAACAATAATGATAAACTTGTCTTGTAAGGCTACTGTTGATTTCCAAAGACTCTCTACCTTTCGGTGACTTTTTACATATTTTGTTTTCTTCCCAAAAGATAATATGAAATGATAAATAGATAAACACAGGTTTAGGGTGCTACGTGCAAGTGCTCTTGTCCGCAGAACTGCTGGATCATCAGCTTCTCCCGTCCCATTTCGGAAGTGGGCGTTGCAGAATTATACAGTTTGAGGCATGATTCTTGAAACCATCGTTTTTTATTTCATCACCTAATTTATATTTTATTTAATTCATATTGAATACATTGGGTTTCCATTAATACAAAATCACGCACTGTACTGTTTCACCCCTCTTCTACTAGGCCTATTCCTTGTTCAAACAGACAGTTTGTTGTATGGAGAGAGAGAGAGAAAGGAAGGGGAGGGGGAGGTAAACACAGACTGAGAGGGAGGGAGAAGGGGGGCAGATTGTGGAAAAGTTCAAACAGTAGAGCTAAGTTTGCCTCCTCGCTCCACACCGGCTGCAGAAGTGTACCGTCCAGTTTTCACCGGGACTTGTGCACGGACTTTATAACGTGGACTTGGCAAAATGAGACTTCGGCGCGTGCTTTTGTTTTTAGCTTTATCTGTCTGCCCACTTTTCTCTCTGACTAACTGTGAAGAGCAGCGAGTCCCCGAAGGTGAGTAAAGTCAGGAATGCTGCCCCAGAACTCAATGACATCCGTGTTATACACATTTTTAACTAAAAAGGGCGTTTGATAAAGTCAACATATATAACAGTGAAGTAAAGTGCACGCGAGGTCGGCATTGACTGGGACTCCCGAGCTCGTGCGGTCCCGGTGGAAGGGAAACTCGCACGTTAACGTTACTCCTGATTATGGACGAGCTGAAATATTCGGTTATGTTACAACACGTAGCAAGACTTGGCAGTAAGTAGCCCAAACCAAATAGTAAGAATGCACAGTTATAGTGTGTATTTCTGTTAGCTACAGAAGAGCCTATCCATTAGAAAAACTGGGATTTGTTGATACATGTGTTGCTAGTGGCGCTTAAAGTATGCCGAAAAGTAATTTACAATTCGCAAAAGACATTAAGTACGTTGTGGTTTAACACGTCATTTCAAATTAAAAGGAAGTATTGGGAAGACAATGCAGTTTCACATTATTCCTATTCTTTACATGGGAGAGAAAGTTGAACGTAGGAGCCGCTGAGGAGGAGGCTGCGCCGCTGACGTGGACGGGCTGCTATAGCAGCGCCGCTATTAATACAACTGTAGCCTGCAGCTAGGCTACATTAGCATGTGTAGTGTAGGAGTAGGATGATATTGTATGAAGTCTGTTATGAAACAATACAGAACACACTTTGGATTTTTCTTTGTCTCAAAAAGTTTGAAGATGTAAGTGTTTTTGCTGCTTAAAACCCTCTGGTTTATATAAGACATTACTGTAGAATGTATTCAGAAAAAGTTGACCTTTTAAATAATAGCAGTGCTTTCCAGCACCTTCTCCCTCCGGAATTGAACAGACATTAAATAGGACACAGTAGGCTACAATAAATGACCTAGTTGGAGAACAAAATATCAGACAATAGCAAACATTATGTGCAGACAGGCAGCTCCCAGGATTCTGAGAGACCCTTGTGGGTGGACCCATTTTGGCTCCCCAGAAAGAAAGTTTTATAGCCTAAATGTGTTACAGATAAATGCATCCATCTGCTGCACTCTGAAGGCATCATTAAGTTAGGTCAACGCAGCTTTTTGTGCATCTGGTTAATTATGTTGTGCTCAATTTAATCTTAAACACATTGGTATTATATTACATATTTACAAATCTCATCCTCTGTCTCTGCCTCCACACTAACCCTCAGATACACAGTGCTTATTATAAATTGTGCGCCTGCTTTTAAAAATGTATTATTCAAACATTTCTTAGTGAATTTTCATTCGTTATTTGCTCCACAATATCAAAAAAGTAAATATTCTTGCATTTATCTTTCAGTGAAGCCTGAGAGAAAAAAATAAGCATTTGTTTCACCTTTCTAATTTTCTTTAAAATCTGATCTCTTCTAGAGAAACTTCTCATTGTGACAGTTGCAACCCAAGACACTGAAGGCTTCAAGCGTTTCTTGGTGTCGGCTAAACATTTTAACTACACTGTCAAGGTAGGAACCCCCTGTGGCTGCGTCAAGCTCCTTCCATCCTGTCTAGCCATGTAAACCCTCTCTATTTGTAAACTTGAATGATATCCTTGTTTTTACATTTGAGACTTTTGTCGAAAAAATAAGTCATATTCTTTATTTTGGAGCAGAAAGTAAGGCATTTAGGAATTCATCTTATCAGTAAATGTGTGTATGTTATAAGGTTCTTGGTCGGCTTGAAAAATGGAGGGCAGGCGACTACATGTCGGCTACAGGAGGGGGCCAGAAGGTACGACTGCTGAAAGAGGCTCTGCAGGAAATGAAGAATGAAGACACAATCATCCTTTTTACTGACAGGTACAGTGTCTTTACCACAGGCAAACACTCAGATTCAAATTTGCTTCTCAGCAGTGATGGCCAGAGTAACACCCTGACACTTAAAGTCATTATTGCTGAACACTTAAACTAACACCAGGTGGGTTTACAACTGACAATGTGTTACTGTTCTGTGGTTATGAATACATTATAATACACGTTATATACAATATGATATCAATCTGAACATCTCAAACTCAAAGATGTTATGACAGAGACAAAAAGTATAATAATTACAAAAATGATATAGCGACTGTATCTGTAAGATCTCATTCTTACTTCGTAATTGTTTGCATTCCGTTGCCTCTGAGGAGGCAAACATCACTAAAATATTTGTTTTCTCTCTGAGATTCATATCTTCAAATATCCGTTACAACACATCATTCTCAGAAAGAAAAGATAAGAGAGTGAGATATTCAGATATCCACAGACATAGCTCAGAGACAAGAGCCTTCATGTAGCTGCAGATTCTTCACAGACTGCTGTTCATCAAGATATAGATCCAGCACATAGCCCCTAAATCCACACATTTACATTTTTGATATGATTGTTATTCAGTGATATAGATACAGTATACATATATATATATATATATATATATATAAATACAGGGTTGGGAGGATTACTTTAAAATTGTATTCCGTTACACTTACTTATTAACTGTAAACAATCTAATCAGTAACTTAATCTGAGTGTCAAAATATAAAAGTAATGTAATCTGATTACTTTTCCATTATTTTTGGATTATGTCCATATGAAATGCAGTGCAAATAAACAAAAGAAAAAATATAAGTTTTATACTTAAGTGTATAATGTAAAACAACAGAACAATATGACCTTAGAAAAGAAGAAACGATAGTTACGTATATAACTACGGTTCTATGAATCCTGGATGACCGCCAGAGGCGGTGCTTAGCACTGAATATCTTCAGTCTCGCGCATGCGCAGGTCGAATATTTATATCAACAAAGTCACGTGTGACCTCGTATGACCCCGGAAGGCATAAGTTCTGGTGTTGTCAACGAGTTCAGTCCTCTGGAATCTTCTCGCAGAAACACGAGATTCCGAGTGACCCAGAACTCTGGCGGTCATCCAGGATTCATAGAACCGTAGTTACATACGTAACTATCGTTCTATTTCATCCTTACTGACCGCCAGAGGTGGTGCTTTAGCACTGGATGACCTATACCAACAGAGTCACAAGGAATTCTGAACACTCACCTTATAAGGATGGCGGACTCTGTAGGAGGACAACACCCAGCGGGTGAGGGGCGGCAACATTCACCCTGTAGTATCTGGTGAATGTGCTCGGGGATGCCCATGTGGCCGCGGCACATATTTCCTCCAGGGGCACACCTCTCAAGGTCGCCCAAGACGTGGAGACACTCCTGGTAGAGTGGCCCTTTACTCTGGGTGGCAGGGGACGGTAATTCGCCTTGTATGCTTGGGCGATGACATCCACGATCCA